TGTTTTGGAATGACCACCGGAATGGACTAGGACTATGAGACTGATTATGACCCAAACAAGACGAAGCGGATTTTTAGTTTAAGTAGCTGTGTGTTAGTAAGATGTTGTGTTATGGACCTGATTACTGTAATTGTTGTCTATATGTTTTATGTTTTGTACACCGCCACGAGTCGCCTTCGGGCTGAGAGTGGCGGTTAATAAATGCAAATAATAAATAAATAAATAATAAATAAGTCAGCACTTACGGAGTATCAGCCAGAAGTCACGGAAACACGGAGATCTGTAGTCCAAGGACCCAAGCTTGAGAGTAATGGCAGTAACAAAGATTCACACCCGAAAAAACACTTTGCCTTCTGCAAAGACCCATTGAAACCAAACCAACTTATATCCTAAAGCTCCTCATCAGAGGATGAACTGCTCCCCACCCTTTCATCATCACTTTCAGCTGCCCCATTCCCTGCAGCTGAGCACTGCCTCCCATCTCTCCACCTTTGCCAGCGTCTGTCAAGACTTAGGTCCTCCCAAGTGTTCCCAGATTGTCACTCTTCTGCAAACCCCTCAAAGTCATCACTAGAGGTAGGCTGAGTACAGATGTCCCTAATTTCCTGTACATGGGTCCAGTCTAAATCATCATCCTCCTCATTGTCACTCCCAGTCCCATCACTCCTTTCAAAACCCATAAAATCTTAATCTTCTGTTGGAGCGCTAAGTATATCACGGATACGCTTCCTTTGGATCTCCTCATCAGATTCTTGTTCATGAGTAGCCCGCTTAACTCCCCTGCTTTCCTCTCCTTCCCCCATTTCACAGTCTGAGAAACCTTCGAAGGATTCGGAATCAGTTGGAGCCATGAATATGTCTCTAATCCGCTTTCGCTGCTGCTCCTCCTCCAACACCTGCGCAGCCCTCTTCTCCCTTCTACCGGTAGTAGTAACATTACTATCAGTCTGTACTACAACATAACCACTGGAGATGCTAGTGGGCTGTGTGGCTAAAGTGTTTTCCCATTTGTTTTGCACAGGAGAGAATGCCTCGTTTATAAGAAAAGTACTTCTCATTTCTAAGCAATTAAAATTTGCTGCATGATTAAGCAGAGGCACTACTTCAGTCATTAAATGTTTTTAATTGGTTAATCTAATTGATTCCATATCTTGTCCCTAGTGATTAACGTAGATATGTGTCTGAGAGCAACATAGATTTGACTGTAGTGATTAATTCTTTTTTGCTTTGTCATAGTCCTTGGTATATATTGGAAAATATATGATTTTGGACTATAACTGTGAGAATCCAGAGGACCATGCTGGCTGGGGGAAAGCTGGAAGCTATAGCTCCAAAAAGTAGTCTTTCCAATCTATGGTTATTACTAAGGCGCCTTCCACACAGCTGAATAAAATCCCACGTTTTTTGCTTTGAACTGGAATATATGGCAGTGTGGACTCAGATAACCTAGTTCAAAGCAGATATTGTGGGATTTTCTGGATTATATGGCTGTGTGGAAGGGCACTAAATTTCTCGATGGTGCAACATGCCCCCTTTCTCAATTGCGTCAGTTCTGTTTTCTCACATGCAAGAATGGTTTAATTATAATTATGATTATAATGAGCATCTGTTTCAGCTCTTTTTTACATGAAGCATGCATTCTTTCATAAAAGTGGAAGGAATTATCTTCCAGGAAATGAGCTTTGTCTTGCAATCACTTGGGAGAAAGAACCAGAGCCAGATTATGTGGATGTTTCATTTTCCTCCTCCTCCTCCTCTGCACCCCCTCCTCACCTACAAATAGCAATTCTTATCTTTGGGGAAATTGAGTATGGCCTCATTCAGTGCATCAAGGGTCATATCACAGACCTCGCCATTTTTCCAAGTCACCCTCTCACTTCTGCCCTCATCATTTCAAGACGCTGGGTCAGTGCAGAGGTCAGCAGTTTCACAGATCTAAGATTCTTGCCTGAATTGTTTTGCAGAATCCCTACAAAACACAAGCCCTCTGGGTCCTGAGCAGGGAAAATATAAAGAAATGAGCAGGGAGGAGGAGAGCAGCAGGGGAAAAACACTTCCTGCTAGCTTGAAATGCTTCCAAAAAGAGGATTAATCAGACTTTGGTCAAAATCCCACGTTCCAACAGATTCACCCCCGCAATGTATTTGAAATGTATCTGAGTGCTTTTTATACCCCCCCCCCCCCTTTCTCACTGCCACAACTTCACTTGTGTGCAGCTAGTTATTCAAACTGGGATGGAAATATTAAGTTGATTTTATGTCTTGTTCTGTTTTATGAGAATTTTAGAAATACTCTAGCCGGAATCTAAACCCTTGTGCATTCGCTGATTTCTACTTTGTCATTTGTTACCAACAGAATAGTCAGAGACACCAGGATCAGGAGGTGGATTTTGGTGCTGTTTCACCTCCCAACATGAAATGGTTTAGCCCTGCCAAATACGAATTTGGCTTCATGTCTTGTTCTATTTTATAAGAAGCAAAAGGGTTTTTTTTGCAACGCCCTAGCCTGACTCTAGAACCTTTTGCATCCATAGAACTCTAGTTTGGCAACCATTACAAACAGTAATGTGTGGATCGTTGTAGTTTTTTGGGGCTGTATGGCCATGTTCTAGAAGCATTCTCTCCTGACATTTCACCTGCATCTATCAGCTATAAAAACCCCATTTTCCTAGTGTGAGACCTCACAACCTCTGAGGATGCCTGCCATAGATGCAAGTGAAATGTCAGGAGAGAATGCTTCTAGAACATGGCCATATAGCCCGAAAAACCTACAACTCAGTGATTCCAGCCATGAAAGCCTTTGACAATACAGTAGTGTGTGTGTGTCAGAGACACCAGGGATCAGGAGGAGAGCGGGGGCATTGTTTCACCTATCAACTGGCAATGCAAAAGCCCTGACATGAGGCCAACCTTTGATTGTAATCCTCGATCACATTACACATTACATTAGTACATTCCATTGGTTCTCATCAAATGGATAAGTCCTCCGCCTGGGCACAGTGTCGTTTGCTTGTATTATGCAGCTTCAGGTCTATCTTTGACCTTCATGGGTCGAGGATTCCAAAATTCCATTGTGTAGGTGTGCATGGCATCGGATTATTTAGGGTTTAAACATAACATTGCTACAGTGTGGTAGTAAATGCTTTCTCCTATGCTCTTTCCATGTTGCTTCAGTTAATTTAAGGCTGTGCATGGATGATGTCAGCCTCCTTTATCCACCAGTGAATCCTTGTATGACAGCATATCTGTGGTGGCACATCAACATTTATAATGGGAGAACAAAATGTCAACTCCAGCCCACTATTCAAAACTTAGGAGGACATATCTGTGTTTTCTTGCCCTCAGTTCTCTAAACAAAGACCAATATGAATTAAACCTTTTCACATAATCCAAACTTGTTGCTGCATTTAATTTGAACAGCTCCACTGGTCAATAAACTCTAGTGATTTCGAATACTTAAGACAGTAAAAATAGAAATGTACAGTGGCTCTTCCTAATCTGCATATAAATGGCATATCAGAACAAAGATTGATCCCTCCCTTACAAATTGGCTTTTAAAATAATTGCCCTTGTTATTCAGTTCAGACGGCATGATCTTGTGGACTTTTTTGTATCCTCAGACAAGTTGGACAATCCATTGCAGATCTCATGGAATTTAGTAATAATAATAACCTGTTACGTATAAATCATGATAAAGCCAAAGCTGGTTGGATTTATTATCTTTTATAGACAGTGAATCATTTTTATAGAATTTAAAAAGGAGAAATGACAAACCTGGAGAAGCGATGGCCAAAACATTCAGGATGTTAAATTGCATTGTTATTTTGGAATCTCATTTTTCAGAACCTGATGACTAGGGGGGTTAATTATAGTCTTACATACTGAGAACTGGACAAAAAAATGGTGATGATACTGTAGGGACATTTTTTTTCGTACACTTGAAATCTCAAGGACCAAAAAGCTATTCTTTCAGATGTAGTATGCTATTATGTTCAGTGGAAATCATGACGGTACTTTGCAGAACACACCCTGTTCCCTTTAGCACTAAAGACTACATTTTAGTCATTGTATATGTGATTTTCCCCCCACCAGTGGGTTAGTATTGTGTGTATTGTGTGCCAGAGACTGGTAGTTCTGCAGGATAGAACAACTCATTCGAAGAAAGAATTCTGGATCTTTTAAGAGGCTTAAACCACGAGTTGAATTTAAATGTAAAAGCAAATGGGTTAAAATGATCTGATGTAAAGTCTAATCTGTGGTATAATATGGTTTGTATAATTTGACGTTGGTTGATATGGGTGCTTCAGGGTATATCTACACTGTAGAATGAATGCAGAATGACACTTTTTAAACTGCCAGGGCTCAATATGAAATCATAGGAGTTGTAGTTTTACCAGATCTCTTCCAAGGAATTCTGGTGCCTCATTCTATAACATTGAGGCATGATAATTAAAGTGGTATCAAACTGCATTCATTCTACAGTGTAAATCAGTGGTTCTTGACCTGTGGGTCTGCAGATATTTTGGCCTACACCTCCCAGAAATCCCAGCCAGTTTACCAGCTATTAGGATTTCTGGGAATTGAAGGCCAAAACATCTGGGGACCCACAGGCTGAGAGCCACTGGTGTAGATGAACCTTATGTCACAGAATTTATGGATAGTTCCAATGCGACTAGGTACAAATGGTGGAATACATCCCAGAATTGTCCTAGCACTTCTTTCCTATTTTTTCCTTATCACAGAATGTGAGGGGGGGGGGGGGGGGGACAAGATGTACATTTTAGCCTGACTGCTTTATATCCAGAAGATCCTGAAAGCAATCATTTATACGTCTTGCATGCCTAGTTCTCCTAGTTTCCTCACATGTGGTGAAGCTATAAAGGTGGTGAGAAACCATTTCCCACAATTAGCAATTCTGCCAACCCCCTTCTTAAGTAACATAGTACAAACTTCCGAAAGCAGGCATATTGTTCATTTTCTCTTGTGCTTCCTTTATCACAGATATTGTAACGAGCACTTGCTATGCTCCCCACAAGTCTTCTGGACCGGTTGGGGTGCATGGGAACGTTGCACAGTCCAGTGTGGAGGAGGAATTCAGGCCCGCCACAGAATTTGTGAGAATGGCCCCGATTGTCCTGGTTGCAACGTTGTGAGTGACACCTGCATTAATTGTTCTGTTTTAGATCTGGGTGGGATGCTGTTTAAATGTTCTGTTTACTTGGTGTGTTATTGAAAAAAATTAATCTTCTTGTACTTGTCATCACTTTTTTTTTGCAATTTTCCCAACTTGCATTGCTCATTTTTGTTACTGTGTGTTCATGTTTATGTGTGTAGGCGTTAAATCTAAGGATTATTAAGAAACTAACATACCCTTTTACAAATTAATAGAAATACTCTTTATATAGCCACCCAAACAAAAAAATTATAGCATTTCCACGTCTTAAATTACTTAGGACAGTGGTGTCCAATCTTTGGTCTTCCAGGAGTTTTGAACTTCAGCTTCCAGAATTCCTGAGCATTGGACAAGCTGGCCAGGGCTTCTGGGAGTTGGGAGTCCTAAAAGCCTGGAGGATTAAAGATGGAGACCACTGCTTTAGAAATATAACTTCACTACATCCTTGTTATCCTTAGCTCATCACTAGAAACTTAAGTAAGTGGGAACACACTAATTCCAATATTTTATGGCCTTGTTGTTATGTATTGGTGACACTGGAGTTTATTTGCCTATTAAAGAATATGGCCAGTGTTGTACTTGTGGCCCAAACTCGGCACAGTCATTTAAAAAACTGAATAACTGAGTAATATCACTACTCTTTAAATGGATTAAGCTGACAATGAGAGCTATATTTTTATATCTTATACAGTTTTTAACTGCCTGATTATTTGTTCCACGATGCTTGACTGATTGATTCATATTAACAGCCAATGTCCTTTATTTTGTTTTAGCTATATCTATAACTATATTAATGTTGATTTGATGGCATTGAATGTTTGCCAATTTTATGTTTTATGTTTGGAAGCCACCCTGAGTTCCTTTGGAGAGAGAGGGCGGGTTAAAAATAAACTTTTATTACAATTATTACTATTATTATTGTTGTTGTTGTTATATCTATTCATTTCTGAAAGAACAATGTCATGCCACCTTGGGTCCCCCTGTTTCCATATGGAGGCACTATGCTTAATCATCCAAACATTTCAAAATGTCTCACCACCCTAATTTAATTAGTTTTATCTATTTTGCTGAGTTGTAGTGTTGTGTTGATTTGTTCTGTGTCCTTGCTCTAATGGATTTCTATTTATGATTATTTTATCACTGCCCTGATAATTTTACTGCTGAGCAGCCTAGAAATTCCTTAGATGAAATAAAGCATACTGGATCAGTTCAAATCTCAGCAGTCGGCATTCCCCCAAGCTAGCTGTTGTCTCTTCCCTCAGAACTGTATTTACATGCTTCTGAAATGAAAGCCCTTTCTTTCTGAAGCAAAGAGGTAGTTATTTTAGTCTTTGTTGGAGAATCTTTATATCTGATTGGTAAACGAAGGTCAGAGAAAGAAGTCATATCATAAGAAGGCACAAGGACCTGTAATGGTTTCATACTGAAGGATGTGTTTTGGCATTCAGCCTTCAGACATCCATAGTAGCACACAATGTTTGAAGGGAAAATGCTTCTTTTTTTAGCCCTTGTAATTATGATTCTCATTTTGGAATACTGTCTCCTCATGCTAACTATATATTTGGAGGAAAAAACTAGGGGTGATGTTTAGGACAAAACTCGCCTGAGGAACTGAAATGGGAATGCACGATAGTAAACAAACCACACAATAGTTTAACATGAGCTAAAGTGTAGATTTTTTACAGGCGGGGACATACCCATCATCTGCAGACAAAGTGACACCATAAGTTAGATTCCAGATAGCCATTCAGAAGCCCGAGTTCCACATACAAATATATGCAAGGACATTTTTTTTCATTTTCCTATCCCAACCATGATGCCATGGGGATAGGTTGCCACAGCTGACCATCTGTAAAATGAAAAGATACCCACAAATCCCTTAGGATAGCCAGTGAGGAAGCAGAAGTTGAAAAATTACATTGTAGTACCACCACTTCCAGCATCGTTTTGAGTTAAAGGTTATTTTTCCCATTTTCAACCCCAGACGAACTTCCTCTACAGCTGATGTCCTGTTCAAGAATAAATCAAAGGACTGCTCTATAGGACCTGGAAATGCTACTGTTTGGTCAAAAATGCCAAAAAGCAATAAGTATATAGTCAAATCATCCCATTCTCATCCAGTTGGGCTGTTGATACAAGAAGATCTTTAATATTACTCAGTGATAGCAGTATGATTTCTCTTTAATATATATTGCAATATCCTATGAAATCCTGGGTCTTGCAGTTTAGAGAGGGATCTTTAAGATTGCCAGCCAGAGAGCTTGTCCAATATGATTTTATTGTGCACCTCATCCAAAGATGGAGTTAAAACTGCTGGAAGAAAAATTAACAATCTTAGATATGCAGATAATACCACTTTGATGACTGAAAGCAAGAAAGAGCTGAGGAGCCTTCAAACCAAGGTGAAAGAAGAAAGTGCAAAAGTTGCGTTGCAGTTAAACATAAAAAAAACCCAAAGAGATAATGGCAACCAGAATGATTGATAACTGTCAAATAGGGGGAGAAAACGTGGAGGCAGAGACAGACTTTGTATTTCTAGGAGCAAAGATTCCTGCAGATGCAGACTGCAGCCAGGAAATCAGAAGATGTTTACTTCTTGGGAGGAAAACAATGGCCAATCTCGATAGTGAAGAGTAGAGACATCACACTGGCAACTGGTATTCCCTGCAGTAACCTATGGATGTGAGAGCTGGACCATAAGGAAGGCTGAGCGAAGGAATATAGATGCTTTTGAATGGTGGTGTTGGAGGAAAATTCTGAGAGTGCCTTGGACCACAAAAAGATCAATCCAGTCCATACTCCAGGAAATAAAGCCCAGCTGTTCACTGGAGGGAAGGATGTTAGAGGCAAAGATGAAGTACTTTGGCCACATAATGAGAAGACAGAAAAGCTTGGAGAAGATAATGATGCTGGGGAAAATGGAAGGACAAAGGGTCCGACCAAGAGCAAGATGTATGGGTGGTATCCTTGAAGTGACTAATTCTACCTTGAAGGAGCTGGGGATGCCCACAGCTGACAGAAAACTCTGGTGTGGATTGGTCCATGAGGTCACGAAGAGTTGGAAGTGACTGAACAAATAAGCAGCAAAATCATCTTGAGAGCAATACTGGGAGTGTTAACAAGTGATTCCATTACTTAATGAATTTGTCAATAATTCATAAACTAACCTAACACCGACTTGCTTAAAGTCTTATAGTAAAATCTGGTTGTACACATTGAATTTGGGCATATTTTTAGTTTGCACATTAATGAATGCCATCAGGTACTCTTCTATAAAGCAGTCTTTGTAGATGTGTTGGTGTTCAGGCAAAAATAACCTTCAAAAGTAAACATTTTGATTATTGTTTTTAAAGCAAGAGTTCAGGGAAGACTGAACTGGGTAAAGAGATTCCAGTTATTTGTATTCTAAATAAAAGCAAGTGACAATTTCTTTCAGGAATATCAAGCTTGCAATACAAGCCCCTGTCCCGAACTGAAAAAGACCACGCCATGGACACCGTGGAGTCCCGTAAACATCTCTGATAATGGTGGCCACTACGAGCAAAGGTTCCGATATACTTGCAAGGCCCGGCTGCCTGATGCAAACTTGTTGGATGTAGGAAGGCAGCGAATTGAAATGCGTTACTGTTCTAGTGATGGTTCCACTGGATGCTCCACCGATGGTAAGCAGCCATTTCTGCAGCATCTTAAGTTTGTTGGCAAGTCAACAGGTAGCCAAATAGATAATGTTGCAGAGCTTGGTTTTCTTAATATTGATTGTATCCCAAGCAAAGTCCCCATGTTTATCAAAGCTTGGGAAATTATGCTTAAGAATAATTTGTTGCAGTTTCGGTTACCCTTCCAGGGTTCTAACCCAACATTGTAACCCTTTGCTTTCTTGTTACTGAAAAATTAATACAGTGGATACTTTTATAGATCCTTCCACATATATACATCCATATCAAAATGCGGACTTGTGATATAAAACATATTTAAATGGTGAGTAACTGGAAACAGTTACATTGGTGCCACCAATTGAGCTGTTAGCAGGACATAACAAATAGCAGGCCACACATACTAGGCACAACTATGGGAACTTTTTAAGTGCACATTTTACCTCTCATGCTGAAACCACAGTATTTCAAATTCCTAACAACTTGTTTCATAGGAGGTTACCTGGTGCACTTCAAAACATACAACATGAATGTGACAAGTGTTTGAAAGCATCTCCGATTTAGATAATGCATTGTTAAATTTATAATCAATGCTCACTAACCTGGGGGTATTTTGAATATTTGTTTTCATAATGTATTATTTTAGAAATGGATCTTGCAAAACTTGAATTGTACTCTATTAATGTGTTTTTAAATTGCTATATAGTTCCTGCAATGGCAGTTAAAGGGCCCTTCCACACAGGCTTATGTCCCAGAATATCAAGGCAGAAAATCCCACAATATCTGCTTTGAACTGGGTTATCTGAGTCCACACTCAGATAATATGGGGTTTTCCGCCTTGATATTCTGGGATATAGGGCTGTGTAGAAGGGTCCATAGCCACCGCAAACCAGTTCCTTCAAATATAGGAAGACAACACAACACAACTGTAATGCAAACTATTTGGCAGCCATATCATTTGCACATTTTACACATTACTGCTTCTTTATTGCTCTTGACTATCTTATAGCCCAATGCTTTGCATGCTTGCTCAAAAAAATGTCAATTTTTCACAGTGAGTTCCCAAGAAGAGGGACACTGGCCTTATTTATCTTGGCAGAAAATTATATCTGTCCTTTGTCAGAATCCAATAAACATTAGTCAAGATGGTGAACGTCAATAAAATAGAGTCAGAACCAATAAGAAATAGGGGGCTTTTCGCACGCTTGGAAAGAAAATCAGCAGAGAAAAAGTAATATTGAAAGAAATGTTACCTTGAAATACACTCAATCAACAATGGGAGCGTGCTCAAAGTCCACAAAATGCACGACATATATGGCAGGAATGAAGTTGGATAGAATGGAATGGAGTATCAGGAAAACAGATATGGCTGGGGCCCCTTCCACACAGCTAAATAAAATCCCACATTATTTTCTTTGAACTGGAATATATGGCAGTGTGGACTCAGATAATTCAGTTCAAAGCAGATATTATGGGATTTTCAGCCTTGATATTCTGAGTTAGATGGCTGTGTGGAAGTGCCCTGGGTTCTTTAAATTTTGAACCAGGCCATGCACTTCACTATTTTATTTTAGATCCAAACTCAGCAACATTAACAAGCACTTGTGTCAAAATGTAGAATTTAGAAACATCTGGATCATTTCACAACTATGTGAACTAAGCCACCCTGAGTCCCCGTTCCCCCAGGAGGGGGGGGGGGCTTTGAGAAGGGCAGGGTACAAATGTTTGAAATAAATAAATAAATTGGGAAAATGTAGTAGTAAGAGAGTATCGTTTGCCAAAGAATGCATCATATATGAATGGCAGATGAAACATTTAAATCTGGATTTTCTTGCTCAGTCTTGCTTGGCTGTTGGACTGGCTCGTTTTCATTCATTTTCCACAGCTTGTGCTCTATTTTTGTATGCAGACCCTCTCAAGTGCTGGAATTGCTAGGCAACTTTTAATTAAGGGGAACAAAGTTGCATGAGACAAAAGCCTTTAAAATATTTGAAGACCCTGCCAGAAAGAGGAAGAGTTGCCATTGTTGTCTTTTGGGCAAGAGTCAAAGATGAGAAGCAATGGACAAGTTGTAACAACAGGCGTGTAGGTGGGGTCTTAGGAAATGACTTGTAATGGCTGTAATGGTGCCACTGTATCTAGAAGGTTTAAAGGCTGGGGCAGGTAGGCAATGTAAAAGGATGTGTTAATTATGAATGTTCCTATAAGAGAGAGAGTGGGAAGAGATGGTCCCTCTGGAATCTCAAGCTACAGTACATTGTGAAATTCCATGTTCTTCATGTATTCTAAGTGTTCTCAGTATCTTCAGAAACTCTACTGTGTATTTCTGTGTGCATGTGGAAGAGAGTCAGAAGGAACAAAGCAGCTGCAGGGAGAAAACAAGATAAAACAGGGAGAAATAGAAGAGCCTGAGAGCAGTCCCTGGTTTTAATGACTCAAAAAGGGGGGCAAGGATGGTTGACTCTAGCTGATTCACTGTTGGGTTTGTCTAAGCCAGGAATGGGTGAAATCTGTTCTGTGGTTTGCTTCCTGACTTTAAAAAAGCTGCTCCTTGGTCTACAGTATGTATTCATTTATTTCATGTATAACTTGCCTTTCCCTCACTATGAGACCCAAGGTGACCCAATTCAGCAGCAAAGCAGAAATGTTGCCAGTAAGAATTTATAGGGTATTTCAGGGGATAAGAAATGAACGGCAAGTCAGCAGTGAAGTTGCAGCGAGAAAAAAAGGAAAAGCCATCCTAAATAAAATAGAGAAGCAATGTCTCATAAACGTAGAAAACATTTGGAATACAGTACAACCCTTGTATCTGCAGGATTGGTTCCTACGTGTCACCTTCTTGCATTGAACAAAATATATAATCTCTAGGAATTTTCTTAGGCCCTCCTTGTCATCATGGCAGTTTTCATGGTAGTGGCAGACTTTGTATTTCTAGGTGCAAATATTTCTGCAGATGCAGACTGAAGCCAGGAAATCAGAAGATGTTTACTTCTTGGGAGGAGAGCAATGACCAATCTTGATAAAATAGTAAAGAGTAGAGACATCACACTGGCAACGAAGATCCAGAGAGTTAAAGCAATGGTATTCCCCATAGTAACGTATGGATGTGAGAGCTGGGCCATAAGGAAGGCTGAGCAAAGGAAGATAGACGCTTTTGAACTGTGATGCTGGAGGAAAGTTCTGAGAGTGCCTTGGATTGTGAAAAGATCAAACCAGTCCATACTTCAGGGAATAAAGCCTGACTACTCATAGGAGGGAAGGATATTAGAGGCAAAGATGAAGTACTATGGACACAATGAGAAGACAGGAAAGCTTAGAGAAGACAGTGATGCTGGGGAAAATGGAAGGAAAAAGGAACAGGATCCGACCAAGGGCAAGATGGATGGATGGCAACCTTGAAGTGACTGCCTTGACCTTGAAGGAGCTGGGGGTGGTGACGGCCGACAGGGAGCTCTGGCGTGGGCTGGTCCATGAGGTCACGAAGAGTTGGAATCAACTAAATGAATATACAACAACAACTCCATGTCATTCTATGGTGTGCCTCTGCCAGAATTTATATAGAGTCACCCTGGAGGACCTAGCAAATTCCTAGAGTGAGGTCATCTCTAGAAGTTTTCTAAGCACTCCAGGACGGCTGTATAGTAACTGCCAGTGGAAGTCATTCATTTCAAGTCATTATATTATACATTATATTATATTATACAGTTTCCTCTTTCCGTGGTGCGTTCAGGAATGTATCCCAACGGATACAGTTTTCATACTGTATTCTATAGCACTTTTAACTTTTTACAAAATGTGCAGAATTCACTGGAAAACATGCTCAATGTAGATGAGAGTGTTTAAAATATATTTTTTAAACTCCAGGAGGCAAAGGGAAGGTGGGAGACGGGCTATATTTAAACTCCACAAAAAATGACTGAGGGAGACAGAAGGTTGAAGGTTTTCAAATATTTAAAAGATGTCAGAAAAAGGTGGAAAAGTAACAGCTTTCTATCAGTCTCTGTGTTAGAAAGTATGTTCTAATTAGAATAATAGTCAGCAATCAATCAAGTCACCTGACAAGGTTATTAGGGTCTTCTAGAAGATTTTCAAGCAAGGACTGAATTGGGAAGTGGCTGAGAAGAAAGCATTTCACTGTAGGATGACATGCATTAAGGAGGGAGGCAAACATTCCCTCCAAAGCCACTGTAATACATTGGTATGAACAAGAAAACATGGGTCTTTCACAGCAGCATTTTAATGTGAGCCACAAAAGTTTTTTTTATCATTGGGAATATACTGCAAGTTGCTTCTGGTGTGAGAGAATTGGGTGTCTGCAAGGATGTTGCCCAGAGGATTTCCGGTTGTGTTACCATTCTGTGGGAGGCTTCTCTCACGTCCCTGCATGGGAAGCTGGGGCTAACAGACAGGAGCTCACCCTGTCTTGTGGATTTGAACCACTGACCTTCAGGTCTTCAGATCAGCAGTCAGCTGGCACAACCCATTGCACCACCGAGCTCCCTACCAAAGAAGTGAATAACAGCTACCAGTATTAAATTTGGTGGTATATTTTTGTGTTCTGACAGTAGACTCTATGTATACATATGCTGCTGTGTGAGTGTAACTAATGACAAAACTATTTTTTTAATTTATATCCCATCTTTTCACCAATGGATGACAAACTTCAAGAGAAATATAAAATCTGCCAACTTCTGATATTGATAATGTGTGTTTTAGTGGAGGAGATTTTGTTCTCAGGGAGAGAACAAAATTTTTTGCCGCAAATGGAGGACGTGCAAACCATGCTTTATTTCTTGCTGTAATAATGAGCTTGGAAATAATTGGCAATATTGAGTTGTAATCACTTCCTGTCTCTAATACAGGCATTAATAAGGTAGAGGTAAATGGCAATAGCCGTCATAATGTTTGTTCTCTCCTTCTCTTCAATCACACTCTATTTTTCCTTCGTCTGTTGTCTGACTAGGAGGAGACTGCAAAAGTTCCACTCTGTATTTAATTGAATTAAATGTGGAAGCATATTCTTACAGGATAAATTGTTGTTGCTTAGATACATGGTATTTTATTGAGTGGCATAGGTCCTTGCTCCCAGCTGTAGTTTCAACAAGGAGGGAAACAAAAGGAGAAAACACAAGGAAAGAAAGGGGAAAATCTGCTAACAAGGGATGATTATGAGTATTTGGGCTTTAGTGTGGTTCAGAGTGTCTCCAGACAGTTGGCTCCAAGCAATACCAGCCAAATGACACCATGCAGTTATTCTCTCTTTTGTGCCTGAATTGTTTTTCTCATGTTAAAGGGGGAGAATGGAAGAAGCAGTTGGAAAACATAGGAGCGTTGCAACTGGAAGATGATGTTATTTAGATCCCCATGAAGTTCTGCATCTGAGGCAGGAGGCATTGGTACAAAAATTGCCTTATTAAGAAGTTCTCTGTATCTTTCAAATTACATCTTGCAAAAATATAAAAAGGCTTTTAGAGTTACATAGGAGCTGCAGGCTGCCAGTTCACTCACCATTGCTTCATTGATACAGTTCCAGTAACGCTGCGGATTCCTGACACAATCATCAGAACTGTAATCAAGTTTAATACCAAATTACATTCTTCTGATTGTGCACATTGATTTCAATTTCCTAAGAGTAAAATTGCTGGAACAAAAATTAAATTAAAACAGCATTACAAAGGGAGTCAGCATGTTGCCAAAAAGCCACATTTCTGTTTGAAGGGATGCCATGTTAATTTTCTTCTTGTTTGTTTATTTGTTTATTTGTCTCTGTTCCTCTTAGGTGACTTCATGCACTCTGGACGTTACGCTGCCCATACTATTAACGGTGCCTGGTCCCCCTGGTCTCCGTGGTCCCAGTGTAGCCGAGACTGCAGCAGAGGCATTCGGAATCGGAAGCGTATTTGCAACAATCCTGAGCCAAAGTATGGAGGCCTGCCTTGCTTGGGACCATCTCTCGAATACCAAGAATGCAACATTCTCCCATGCCCAGGTAGGATACCATGGAATTAGAAAATGTGGAATCATTCCCAATTTACACACAAACTTTGCCTAAAAGATTGAGCTCAGTTGTTTTGTGAGGCATGTTCTCTAGAAAAGACTGAGGTTGGATCTACACTGCCCTATATCCCAGGATCTGATCCCAGATTATCTGCTTTGAACTGGATTATGTGAGGCTACACTGCAAAATAATCTGGGAAAAGCAGATAATCAGGGATCAGATCCTGGGATATAGGGTAGGGTAGAACCAGCCTGAGGCAGTGTTACTATTCAAAGGGTTTCAATTAAAGGGGCCTTTTTGATAACCCCATAGTTTTACTATGATTCAGTGCGGGAATGACTTGCTAGCATGTGATATAAAGAGGAGAAGGGTTTTTTTTTTTTTCATGTCAGGAGCAACTTGAGAAACTGCAAATTGCTTCTTGTGTGAGAGAATTGGCCACCTTCAAGGACGTTGTCTAGGGGATGCCCTGATATTTTGATGTTTTACCATCCTTGTGGGAGGCTTCCGCATGGGGAGCTGGAGCTGACACAGGGAGCTCAACCTACTCTCCCCAGATTCAAACCACTGACCTGTCGATCAACAGTCCTGCCAGCACAAATATTTTACCCAGGGGTTCTCAACCTGTGGGTCCCCAGGTGTTTTGGCCTACGACTCCCAGAAACCCCAGTTTACCAGCTGTTAGGATTTCTGGAACAACCTAAAAGACGGCTTTATACATGGACCTCACCAGATGGTCAACACCGAAATCAGATTGACTACATCCTTTGCAGCCAAAGGTGGCAGACATCCATCCAGTCGGTGAAAACAAGACCTGGGGCTGACTGTAGCTCAGATCACGAACTTCTTATTGCTCAATTTAGAATAAAACTAAAGAGATCAGGGAAAATACACAGACCAGTTAGATATGATCTCACTAACATTCCTAGCGAATATACAGTGGAAGTGAAGAACAGATTTGAAGGACTAGATTTAGTAAACAGAGTCCCAGAAGAACTATGGAGAGAAGTCCGCGACATTGTTCAGGAGGCGGCAACAAAGTACGTTCCAAAGAAAAAGAAAACCAAGAAGGCAAAATGGTTGTCTGCTGAGACACTGGAAGTAGCCCAAGAAAGGAGGAAAGCAAAAGTAAACAGTGAAAAGGGGAGATATGCCCAGTTAAATGCGCAATTCCAGAGGTTATCCAGAAGAGATAAGGAACTATTTTTAAATAAGCAATGCATGGAAGTGGAGGAAGACAACAGAATAGGAAGGACAAGAGACCTCTTCCAGAAAATTAGAAACATTGGAGGTAAATTTCAGGCAAAAATTGGTATGATAACAAACAAAGATGGCAGGGACCTAACAGAAGCTGAAGAGATCAAGAGAAGGTGGCGAGACTATACAGAAGATCTGTATAGGAAGGATAATAATATTGAGGATAGTTTTGACGGTGTGGTGAATGAATTAGAACCAGACATCCTGAGAGTGAGGTTGAATGGGCCTTAAGAAGCATTGCTAACAACAAGGCAGCAGGAGACGACGGGATCCCAGCTGAACTGTTTAAAATCTTAAAAGATGATGCTGTCAAGGTGATGCATGCCATTTGCCAGCAAATATGGAAAACACAAAAATGGCCATCAGACTGGAAAAAATCAACTTATATCCCCATACCAAAAAAGGGAAATGCGAAAGACTGCTCAAACTTCCGTACAGTGGCCCTTATTTCTCATGCCAGTAAGGTAATGCTCAAGATCCTGCAAGGAAGACTCCAGCAATACATGGAGCGAGAGTTGCCAAATGTTCAAGCTGGGTTTAGAAAAGGCAGAGGAACGAGAGACCAGATTGCCAATATCCGCTGGATAATGGAGAAAGGCAGGGAGTTTCAGAAAAACATCTACTTCTGCTTCATTGACTATTCTAGAGCCTTTGACTGTGTGGATCATAATAAATTGTGGCAAGTTCTTAGTGGGATGGGCATCCCAAGCCACCTTGTCTCTCTCCTGAGGAATCTGTACAAGGACCAAGTAGCAACAGTAAGAACTGACCACGGAACAACAGACTGGTTCAAGATTTGGAAAGGCGTACGGCAAGGTTGCATACTCTCACCCAACCTTTTTAACTTGTATGCAGAACACATCATGCGATGTGCGGGGCTTGGATGAATGCAAGGCTGGGGTGAAATTGCTGGAAGAAACGTTAACAACCTCAGATATGCAGATGACACCACTCTGATGGCCGAAAGCGAGGAGGAGCTGAGGAGCCTTCTAACCAAGGTGAAAGAAGAAAGCGCAAAAGCTGGGTTGCAGCTAAACATCAAAAAAACCAAGATTATGGCAACAAGAATGATTGACAACTGGAAAATAGAGGGAGAAACCGTGGAGGCCGGGACAGACTTTGTATTTCTAGGTGCAAAGATTACTGCAGATGCAGACTGTAGCCAGGAAATCAGAAGACGCTTACTTCTTGGGAGGAGAGCAATGTCCAGTCTCGATAAAATAGTGAAGAGTAGAGACATCAGACTGGCAACAAAGATCCGCCTAGTCAAAGCCATGGTATTCCCTGTAGTCAACTACGGATGTGAGAGCTGGACCTTAGGGAAGGCTGAGCGAAGGAAGAGATGCTTTTGAACTGTGGTGTTGGAGGAAAGTTCTGAGAGTGCCTTGGACTGCGAGAATATCCAACCAGTCCATCCTCCAGGAAATAAAGCCCGACTGCTCATTGGAGGGAAGGATACTAGAGGCAAAGATGAAGTACTTTGGCCACATCATGAGGAGACAGCAAAGCCTAGAGAAGACAATTATGCTGGGGAAAGTGGAAGGCAAAAGGAAGAGGGGCCGACCAAGGGCAAGATGGATGGATGGCATCCTTGAAGTGACTGGACTGACCTTGAGGGAGCTGGGGGTGGTAACGGCCGACAGGGAGCTCTGGCGTAGGCTGGTCCATGAGGTCACGAAGAGTCGGAGACGACTGAACGAATGAACAACAGGATTTCTGGGAGTTGAAGGCCAAAACATCTGAGGACCCGTAAGTTGACAAAGTTTAACCCATTGTGCCACTGGGAGCTCCAGAGAAAGGGGTGAGATTTATAGACTTCTTCTCCACCAATAAAAGTCCTTGTTCTTTTTCAAATAGCATTGTCAAACATAGAGAAGTGAAGCAATGAGGATCCAGAAAAGGGTTGGGAGCAAAGAGCAATCCCCCAATATGTGAAACACATAAATATGCTAACTGTATGCAAGCCATTGTTTAATTAAATTATGTTAATAAGAATAAGAATAACAACAACTTTATGTTTGTACCCCGCCTCCATCTCCTCGAAGGAACTCAGGGCAGCTTAAGTGGGGACAAGCCTGAGATTCAACAAGGTTAAAATATAACAACAAAAATCATTAAAAAAATTTCCAAACAATATAAAAACAACCACAGAGTACAATACGCAACATCTTGCAATTTTCAATGGTCTGAATAATGCATTCTTAAAAAATGTGGAGGGTAAAGGACCTAAAGATGCCTTCAAGACTGATTTATTTTAGTTTGAGCTTTTGTAAAGTTGTTTTCTTTGTCAAATGCATTGATGGGAGTACAATATTCAAGCCACAATTTGTTGCTTTAAATGGTGGGTTTTCACAACACGCTGCAGAATTTACAGAGAATATGTATGACTCACTAAAGATGGGGCAGAGGCAAAGCAGAACATGGGTGGGAGGAGAGCGAGGAGAGGGGGAGGGAGAAACGAAGAGAGGAGAAAGGGGGAGGGGATGAAGGAAAACTTTTCTCTTAATTATCCAGGTGTCCAGCCTTGCGTGAACAATCAACCTATGGAAAAAGTACAAAGGGATGCCTTGCATCTTTCCAAATTAGGAGGAGTAGCTAATGCCTCAGAGGACAAGATCAGAATTCAAAATGACCTTAATAAATTAGAGAGCTGGGCCAAAACTAAGAAGATATATTTCAACAGGGGGAAATTTATGCTATTACACTTAAGCAGAAAAAATGCCTGTTCAGATTATTCGGATATGGAACAACGAATTAAAACAACAAGAAAAGAAATTTTGGAACGTCCAGGGTTGAAGCTAGGTGTGAATGTTTCAATTGGCCACCCTGATTAGCATTTGATGGCCTGACAATTTTTAGGTCTGACTTGTTACTGCCTGGGGGAATTCTTTGCTGAGAGGTGATTAGCTGTCCCCTTGTCTGGAATTCCCCTGAGTTTGAGTGTTGTTCTTTATTTGCTGTAATAGTTTTAGAGCTTTTTTAATACTGGTAGCCAGATTTTGTTCATTTTCATGGTTTCTTCCTATCTTTTGAAATTGTCCACATGCTTGTGGATTTCAATGGGTTCTCTGTGTAGTCTGACATGTCAGACCATCAAATGCTAATCAAGGTGGCCAATTGAAACATTCACACCTAGCTCCAACAGACAACAGTTCTTTCACCCACCCTGGACTTTCCACAGATATATAAACCCAATTTTCCTAGTTTCCAACAGACCTCTTAACCTCTGAGGATTCCTGCCATAAATGCAGGCGAAACGTCAGGAGAGAATGCTTTTAGAAGATGGCTATAGAGCCCGAAAAACCTACAACGACCCAGTGATTCCAGCCAAGAAAGCCTTCGACAATACATAGGCTGCATTGATGTCTATTAGGAGTACTTTGATTGTGTCTTTTTACATCGCAGGGGGTTGGACAGGAGGACCATAGTGTCTCTTTCAACTCTTTGATTCTGTTATTCATTCTAAATAGTGATGATGATAATAAAAGAAAACCAAGACAAAATGGATATTATAGGAGTAAATTTGAATAGAGTTGAAAACTTCCTCTTCTGTTAACCAGAAAGACCCTTCCCCAGTTTTGCCCCATTAGAGTGGTTCAGTCCAAGTTTCTGAGATCGGCCTTGCAGGTACCTAAATGCGTTTCTAATGCCACCCTGCGACTAGAGATGGGTTTTATGAGAGTGGAGGCCAGGGTGTGGGTGGCCATACTCAACCTCTGGCTCAGACTGTCCCG